GGTCAAAGAAATTTGGAAAAAGAATATTTTATACTGGAAGAGAAAGCCCTTACAACGCCGGGCCATGCAGCTAGAATCAGTAATTATAGAAACTAAATGATTCTTAATGACGTAATTATAGAAATCACTCACATCGCACGCGTGCACGCACAGAAATATTGGCGTCATGAGGGAAAGAGCAAGCCCGTGCAACGCTGAGCCATGCTGCCAGTATATTATATCATATTATTATTATGGTGCGTTTTTGTTCAGAAGAATTGTTCAAGTTTTATAAGTGGGTGTCGATGTAAACAATTTATCTTTTTAACTATAATTTTGCTTTGTTTGGGAGAAAAGGGCGGCATTTTCCATTTTTGTCCGGGGCGGCAAAACTTCTAGAGCTGGCCCTGCCAGGAAATAACTAAAACTTTCGGATACAATTCCCATCAACTCATGTAAAGATAATATTATTCAAAATTTCTTCACCTTAAAATTGTACAATTCACTTCCAGTAGTTTCGCAAAATAGTTTCCTCAACATACTTTCCTAAAAATTGAGCGTACTTCATCTCCGAAAACATCACTAGCAAGATCACACCACTCACAGCAAACAAAAATCAAAGCATCAGTCTTCCCCAAATTCAAACTCAGGATCCAAGTAAGAGTCAAATATAATTAATCATTCAAAGATTACGTTACTTCCGCCATTCTCTCACTGATGAATCTTCCCCAAGATTCTCCTGCAAACTTTTCTCGAACGAAGTCCTATCCTCACAATGGAACCCATGGAATTCCTACGATCTTTTATACATATGTAGATTTGTGCTTCCTTCTAGCCAGGATGTCAAGCTCCCGAAATGATATTTCCTCCATTATATAGCTCTGATGACTTAATGAGAATCTGAGACATTTGTGTATCCATCTTCATTGAGTAGGAGCAGAAATAATTCATTTAGCGAGAGGGATCCTGTTCGCTAGAATGTGTTATCTGTGATTTCGTTCTTTGATATTGCTGAGTTGCAAAAGAGAGGAGAGGATATGCAGCAGAAATTCCAGAACATTGACTCGATTTTCGGTGTGTTGCTGGCAAGAAAATGGAATGTAAATTAATTCCGATCTTTCTTAGTCTTTTTGTTCTGTTCTGCTTTGAAAGGGGTGATGAATGCCTGGGTTGTGGTGGTTGGTTTTTCGACCAATGGTACATATGGTGTTTTGGTAGAAAGAGAATATTTTGTATTTACCATTGTAGAAAATAGAAAATATATATGATATATTGTATCTTTATACACTCGTTTTTAGAAAAAATTCTGAAAATTCTCATTTTTGACGTGATTTTGTATTGAAGCTGATGAGTGTTTGCATGGCTGGTTGATTTTTCGACCAATGATACTATGGTCTTCCATGGAGATTGTTTTCTGGTGTAAAAGAGAACTTTTTTTTATAATAAGAAATAAAGCGATAAATAAGTTATTTTTTCAATATATTACACTCATTTTTAAAAAAAAATTATCAAAAATTCATTTTTGTGGGATTTTTTCTGATTTTGTATTGAAACTTATGATGAGTACTTGCATTGCTGACTGGTTTTTCAAAAAATGCTACATAAGTTTTTCTGGTAAAAATTATTGTATTTTATAAGAAAAATTGTAGAAAATAAGAAATTAAATTTGTAATTTTTTATACATATTACACTCATTCTTATTCAACTTGAATATTGAATATATTTTTTGTTATATTTAAAAATATTTTAACTTGAAACTCTCTCTCTCTCTCTCTGAGTAAAAATTATAAATACTCTTGGAAGTGTTAGTATTAGGGTTTAATATATATATTTTTTTAAACTTAGGTAATTACAAAAACAAATGAAAAATAATCATTTAATAATTTAACATTAGCATTCAATCATTTAACACTTCAAAGAGAAAAATAGATTAAATTTTAAAAAATAAAAAATTATATAATATGTTTATATATCAAGAAGGTAAAAAGAAATCCAAAACACAGTGATTTGATTGCATGTCTAAATTATAATTTTTATAACTTTAGATTTCAACAAAATATTTTCAATTTTTTTAGAATTCTCTCATACAGTTATTACATGCAGATACAGAACAGTTAGGACATATTTAAGAAAACATCTTATTTAAATGGTTTTTCAATTCCTACTATTAGCTCACACTCTCTACATATTTATTTATCTTCGTGGAGTTTTCAATCGTTACTAAAATACATTTTAAAGCGCTCCATTGAGCTGAAATTTTATATACCTTACAATTCAGTAATTTAATTATAATTAAGGAAGATTAATTGATTAAAACTAATTATTCAAAGAATTACAAATATAGCCACTTTGCCATCATTTTTCGTGACTTGGCGACCCTTTTGGTATGTCAAAACGTGATTTCTCATATTTTAAAGGGCTCGTTTCAGCTGCAATTTTCTATACACTATTGTTTTGGGTAAAAATACGATAATTTAACTATAATTAATTAAGATTAATTGACTGGAACTAATTATTTAAAGAATTACAGATACAGCTAATTTGCTTTCATTTTTAGCGACTTGGGTCAAAATTTAAAAAGATTTTTTTTTTCTCACGTTTTAGAGCATTCAGTTGAACTGAAACTTTATATACACAATTGTTTTGGATGGCAATACGATACTTTAATGATAATTAATAAAAATTAAATACCCCTTAATGTTGTAATTCTGTCATATGTATATATATATTTATATTAATTGTAACTATTTAATAAAAAGTAGCTGGAATAAAATTTTTCTTTGTTGATCTAAGTAGGAATTGACTAATTTTTTTTTCTTTTTTTTTAATATTACTTGTTTATCATCCTTTCAGATACAAAGTTTTAAGGAAGAAGTAATGCTTTTTAAAATCCAGTACGTCACAAAAATATAAATGGAATTCCACATGATGAAAACACTCATATATTTTCTCGACATGTTTCACCTGCACATCTTTCCTCAGAATTACACTAAAAGTAAAAATGCTTCACTGCAATTAATACTTTGTCTTGAATTTTGAATTTAATTTTGAATTGATTTTTTGAGTAACTTTTTAATTAATTACAATTTTTAACATGCATTTTCATAAAATTTAGATTACACATTGAAAAAGAATTCCCTACACATAAGCTAACTTCTTTAAATATTCATATTTAGAAGTCTTGGCGAAAGTTTCATATTTTAGTGTTTATGAATTTGAGACTTTATATTACTAATTATCTGCATTTTTTTTCATTTTAAAATAAAGCATAAATATTTCATTTTGAGATATATATTGTTTATATGTATAAATATCGTTAGTAAGAATGCTATAGAATGTTAGTCATTAAAAGGAAAATTAAGCTATTGCATATAAATTCTGAAAAAAAATAAAATTGTGAAAACTTGATTATGTAATTCTAAGAAATTTGTAGTGTCAAGTTTTATATATTGGAGAAAAAGAAAATATTTTAGAATTTATTCCAAAAACAAAACGATACTTGAATAATTTAAATTTTTTTTTTTTAATTTTAAATAAATATATTTTTTTTAACATATATCCATTTGCTCCAGAGTCAAATATTTCCCTTGATTTTATACATTTCTAGGTTAAGGGAATTAATTATTATAAAACTCTCTTCTCTCCACAATCAAAAATTGTCTTAATGTTATAAAAAATTATAATTATGTGTTGTTTTGAATAAATTTAAGTTTCTAAGCCAAAATGAGAAATTTTTTAGAATAATTTTACTTATCTGTAATATAATTCAAACTATTGTAAGCACAAAAATTACATCTTAAACATTTCCCTTCATATTTATTTTTTTTCTACTTAATTTATTTCACTTTTATTTGAGAACAGAAAATGCTCATAGAATAGAAAAAGTTTTAAAAAAGTAGAACGTAAATCTTTTTTAAACAAAAGAGGTAAGATTATTCAGCATTGCTGATATTTTCCTTTAATCTAGTTAATGAATTGTTAACAACATTCATTAACACTTATTAGTGAAATTATTAATCATCATTGACGAAAACTTTGTTGAATAAATTAATTATCTATATAAATTAGTTCAATTAGAGTTTTTCAAAGAAGTTATGCAAAACAATCTTATAATCTTAAGATGATATTGTTGATTCAATTTTGAATAGTATCTTAAATCTTGTTATTTCTAATTCTGTGTTAAAAATGATTTTATTTTCTTTATTTCATTAATTATGCATGTTCGAAAACAAACAGTGATTACTTGAGAACAAAAACTCGTGCAAACATTTTCACGTTTAGTTTATTAAAATATGATTTTTGAATTGATTACAGACTATCTTTTCAATGGAAAACTGCATCCAGGATTGATTTTCCTGATTTATGAACAAAATGAAAAGAAAGTTGAAAATTTGGAATTATAAAGCAAAAAAAAAAGAACATTGCGCAAAACTTGCACTGTGAAGCCATTAAATCATCTCTACCTCAACTCCTCTCTACTACTATTTCACTCTCACCCTATATATATATATATATATATATATATAATGTGGCCGCGGTAGCCGAGTGTTATATATAGGTATCGGATCGTGGCTTGCCTTGTCACGAGTTCGAGTCCAGTACCACTAAAATCACTTTAAATCTGTGGAGAGCTGAAACGTCCTCCCGTTGGTGTGGTGTGGTAGTTAGGAGAGGGGGTGCCAGCTCAGGTGTCGTCCACGTCACTTGACCATGGTTCAAAATTACGTGGTCTGTCGCCAAAAGCCCTCGTGTAGCTGAACAGTGCGACGTTAATATTCAATCAATCAATATATATATATATGTGTGTTTGTTTTGTTCATATTCTCAATTCTTAATAAAATACTTTCTATGCATCCATTCAAGTTCAAATACATTTTATAAAGTTGTTGTGGATGACACTTGGTGTTAATACAGTTTTTTCAAATATTTTAATTCATTAAATAAATTAAAAAATGAATTAATCGTAACAAACAAAAATAATAGTCCAACACCATATATAAAAAGGAAAATTGCTCGTTGTGTCCCTTCAGAGCAATGGGTAGCTCATCGGACTTCTAATCCAAAGGTCATGTGTTCGAATACCACGTAATTTCTGAGAAAGTAATTTCTTTTTATTATACTATTTTATTGGAATAATTAAATTCAATTAATGAATAAAGAGTAAAAAACAAAAATAATAGTATAAAACCATACATAGAATAGAAAATTGCCTTCTATTTTTCCGCTTAATATTATGATTCTTTTATACGTATATACATATTTATATTAATTGTAATTATTTAGTAAAAAGTAACTTAAGTAGTGTAAAATTTTTCTTTGATGACCTAAGTAGGAACTGACTTTATTTTTTTTTAAATCTTACTTATTTATTCTTAAAAGATACTACATACAAACAATGCATTGTTTTGAAGGATATACATGTTATGTAATTAATGTGGGAATCTTATCAAATTCTTGTGAAAAATTAGACATTCAATTAAGATATAATTTTTATTTAATTCTCCAAGAATAAATCATTTTAAATTCTATAGTGTGAAGAATTTTGTACTTATAAGAAAAAACTCTAAATGTACAAAATCTCAAAAAGTTTGAAATACCACTAAAAAAGAAAGTAAAAATATTAGAAAAACGGAAAAACATACTTTTTATCCCCCCCCCCCTCAGAATTGTTTCTGTAGGAACCCTCTTCATCTTTTCCATTCACATATATTTTAGTTACTAATTATTGCACTTCAATATCCCCGAAAAAATTCCAATTATTTTATACCATTTTTTCCTTATAAATGAATAATTTTCTAGAACTTCAACGTTTTGAATTAACAGTTTAATTAATCCATTTATTAGGGCGATACGTCTCATATGTTAATTTTTGTAATTCCAAGTTTTCAGTTTAACAACAGTAGAAATCTCATTCCTTTAATGGATAAGCAGAAATCAAGTTTCTTAGTAATTAGTAAATAAATTATATTATTTCACTTTTTTTTTTACCTTTTAGAACGTGTTTCTTTCGAATGAAATATTCAAACCTTAAGCTTATTACGCTAATGAGAAGCGAGATAAATAGTAATTTCAACATTACGAAATGATATAATTTTTTATCCAGATTTTTGTATTCGAAACAGGGTTTTGATGTTTTTATGACATAACACGTTATTATTTTGTTAAGTTTAATCTTGAATTAGAAGACATTGGAATCATTTTTCAGTAATTAAGGATAATAAGCTTAGAAATAATTATTTTTAAGCACGAAATTTTTATTTTTTCTAAAAAAAATGGACGCACATTATCATTTAATTTTGAGTCATTTGTTTACATTATTATTCTGCATTTTATTTCAAAACCTGTCTTTATCATTTATTTAAACAACATCTTTAATATCCTAAATAAATTTTATTTAAAAAAATTCCTTATTTATACATGTAACTATGGAACTCATTAAATAATTCTCTCTCAGTTAGTTATATAATTTATTTCTTAAATTATTTGATGAACTATAAATTAACATGAATGTAATAATCACTCCCATGAATACTTGCGGTATAAAAGAAAAAAAAACTTAGTTGCTCAACAGACCATGAGGGCCAAAGCCTACTGTTCCCATCTCAGTATACGCAACCTTGGGCCCTGAGGTGCATGAGCAGATGTTCCGATCAGATGATTAGTCTGACACGAAACCCCCAGTGTTAAGTTCCCAAGAAAGCTTGGTACTCATTTAAAGAACCACTTAAGAGATGAAGGCTGAGCCACTGAGAGATGAGGGCAAGGCTGAGCCAACCTTGCCCAGCCTGGGGTTTGAACCTCGGACTTGTGGTGTGGAAGCGTGATGCACTAACCACTCACCCTTGATATATAAACTATAATTATTTGTCAATTAATTCATACAAAACATGTCAATAATTTCATAACATAAAAGGATACTTTAAGCCTGATGTTAATTGGAAACACAAATAATTTACACAATATAAATATTTACAATTTATTTTAATTTAATCAATACTTTATAATAATAGAGCAATATGATATACAATTTAGTTTTACCATAAATTTAAATTTGTTGAAGACAATTTATAGCTGACTTTCATACCAGTCCTTAGTCATTTTAATTCTCATTTGGAGTTTTAAGAAAATACATGTTTTACTTGCCATATATAAGTAAGAATAAATTGAGAGTTGAAAAAATATTTTATTCTGACGCAAACTTATTACCTATTTGGAAAATATATGATAAAGTTATATATATATATATATATATATATATATATATTGAATTTCAAAATGAGCAGGGGACATTTATCCGTAATTAAATTAGCGAACAAAGAAATAACTTATTTTTAGTTCAACAAGAATTACAGCGTGCAAGGTATATATTAATTTGAGTAAAAAAAGAAGAAAAAAAAAAACAGCGACTCTTAATATTATAGACTGAAATTGTTTAACCGTTAATTTCATAAACAAATTCTTGATGAAATTTCTATGTGACACAATTGGAATGATTAAAGTCGTATAACAAATTATAATTGTATTTTTTTTCCAAACGATTTACTGTAGAACACCACAGAAAAAAAATTTATGCACTAAACTGAATTTTTTTCACTTAATTTTTTTTTTTTTATTTTGAAGACAGAATTTTATATATAACAAGAATCATTTAAAAATAAAAATATTAATTCCAAGATAAAAAAAATATGTAATTATTTTGAAATACACTATTAAATGCATAATTGATTTAAGATGTTTTCAATAATGAATATTTTCCTTTTAATAATTAAAATGATCGACAGCAGAATATTGTATAATTAAACTATGCTGGTTATAGATTAATAATTTCAAATGTAAATAATTACTATATATACTATATATACTATATATACTATATATACTTCATCTCACTATGAAAGGGCTGTAGACGAAAATTTAATTAAGTTTATTACTGTAATAAAAGTAAATTCTGGCGATATACCTGAATATTTGCATACAAGGTCTTTAAATTATTAATATTGAAAACACAAATAACTTTTCAAGTTGGCACTCGCTAATCAAAATAATTTGTGCAAAATAAAATCAAATTTTCACATACTATGTTGAAGAATGATGAAATAAATTCTTATTGGGCATTATTGAGCTCCAAAAAACAATTAACAGGGTTTGTAACAGTGTTTGTAAAAAGAAGTAAATATTCCAGCCATTACTAACATCCATTTAAAAAAAATTGTTTAGGAAAATCACATCTGAAACAAAATTTACAAATTACCAAAGGCAAGGAAATAATAATAATTATAAATGAAAAACAATGAAGGTGAAACTAATTAAAACGAAAAATAGTATACGTTAATACTATTTTAATACGCTGGCGGACAATTTCTTATATTTTAAAATGTATTTATTTGCAAGATGATAATTTAATCTCACTAACAAACATATTTGATTTTTGACCTCATTTGCATTTGAATAAAATTATTCACAAAGCTGCAGAAAAATCAGTAATTTCAAGGGTATTTATCAATTGTTTTACTAAAGTGAATATATATTTTTCTTGGATAAAACGCGTCAGATATTTCAATTATTCATTAATTAAGTGGGCTTTAAGTCTTTAAAGTTAATCAATAATTCCTCTGTTATATTTTATATTTACTTACACCTTATTTTCATTTCTTTTCCTTATTTAAAAAAGATTAAATAACATCGAAATATGATCCAAAATTAAATCATAATTTTCCGCATTATAGTTGTTTAAATATTTGCAGTGAAAGATAATCTTTTAAAGAATTATCATTGAGAGCCAAAATAAATATATATTTATCGTAATTCTTTTAACTTTTCAAAATAAGTTATATAATTAAGTTATTATTTCCCTGATAGGGGTAGATGCATTCAAATCGAGTTTTATCTAAATATTTATTTTTATTTCAGTTTTTAAATATTCCAAGGGCTTTATAAGTTATTTGGGCGAGTTAAGAATAAAAATTACTTAGTATCAATATTTACTAATTCTCCCTTCTAACCTAAATGTTAAATTTGCTTTGTTAAAATTTTCTGTTTTGAATTTATATAAACTAATTAATCTGTAAAGAGAACTCGTTTTTGTTTACTGTGAAATTAATAGTAGTTGAATCAGAATAATATGATATTTTAAAATCATAAATTGTAAAAATATTGCATTTATGACTTTATTTTCACATAACAGCAAGTAAAATACATACGTGTCAATTATGTTATTAATATTAACTTAATAACATGTATTTGAAATGTAATGTCCACTAGTACTTCTAGAGTATTCTAATTCGGCATATGTTATTTTACCAAAATTAATTTAACGTATATTAAAACTTATTGTGAATTAATTTTATCTTAAAATTAAGTTGCAGTTCATATTTTACAAGTATTTAAATATAAAATCTAAGTTAGATAATTTATAAAAACTAGTTAATGTTTATCCAATTTCCGTGCTGTGTTCTTGGATTCGAGTTTCGAATCCGGTTTGAATCCAATCCGTGGACGTTTAGTCATTTATAGTTGGCAACACCTTAAATCAGCGTTTCTCAAACTGAGGGGTTCGCCACCCTTGGGGGTGCGTGATAACTCTACGATGGGGGCGCGAGCATATTGAAAAGCCGAAAACTAAAGATTATTTAAGAAAATTACTAATTTACACAAAAAAACGAGCAAAATACATACTGACATAATAAAATATAAGACACATCTGCAATGATATAATTCACTTATATAAATGTACCAGTACTGCACAATGTATTTTACAATTAATTTAGCAATACTAAGTTAAGAACAAGTTTAACAAATACCAGTAACCACATGATCTTGTCATACAAAATTACATACAAAAGTTAATACTTATTTTGATAATTTGTACGGTTTATAATTAATACAATGACTGCTGATTAAAAGTTATGTAATTCGCTCGTTCCCCAATGCCACCGATTTTCAAGTAGGCGTGTCTATGCGATATATTGGGGGGGGGGGAAGGCAAGGAATAAATAATCAAATCCTTCGCAAACACTGCCAATTCCCTTTTATTACATTTAATTGAAATAAAAGGATAAAATTTTGAAATAGTTTTATAAATTGCTGTGTACAGAAAAGAT